TGACTACAAGATATGTTACTCTCTCAATTTAGCAACAGATTCCGTATGCGGTTTCGTGTAAATTGACCGATTTATAATAGATTATGGGGGAAATTCAAAATTATATAAAGTTCAGAGGGGTTTTAGCATATCTTAATAGATCACGTATGAATAAGCTGGAGCTCAGAAGTTCATGGGGAAATTGGCATTTTTCCCGGATAATGACAGATATAATCTAGTATCCGACCAATGACAGATATAAACTAATATCCGACCATGCAGAAAACTACAAGCAACTAAAAAATATTTCTACTGTTATTTAGCAAGAAATGTAAATGAAAAACAATATCACTGACGTCTTGGTCTTCCTCCAACTTATCAATGCTTTAGCTGATAATAACCGGGAAACAAACAACAACTATATCAAATGAATAAGAAATGGGACAAGAGAACATACATGTCGTTAATCACTAATAATCATGACAACTGCAATCTCCGGCTTTCATGTGGTGAAATATATTTTTATCTAATATAATCAATTTTCTTCCACAAATCTGCGTCATAAGCTTGAATACATGATGACATTCGACACACGAACGAATGTTTTTGATAATGGATATGTCGAAGAGATGGAGAGTTAAGAACAGAACTCTCGAATGCAATTTATTTGTTTTCTTCGTCGATGTCATGGAACACCAACCTTGTATCAGCTACATACCCAAACTCTTTCCTCTCATGTGTGTTAAATCGGGCCAGGTCTAACATATCAACTACTTCAGCACAGCGGTCTCCTAATTCTAAATTCCCATGTACTCTACACAAATGCATCAATGTTTCAAACACCAAAAACTGGCCCATACAAATTGCATATCTCATCTAAAGAGTTTCAAATCATAATCAATTTCTAAAATGTCRTATGGTTTCAAAATATATAGAATGAACAGAGTGACAGAGCTAATTTGATGTCCAACAGTGCAAGAAAAATACAGCTTAAAAAAGTATTGACATTAATCTCATACCAAAGCATCACAACCATCTTTTGTTTTTTTTCGTATGTACAAATAATACCTCTTAATATTAAAGCTGAYGTTAGACGAACGAGAGATAACTASTTAGTCTCTTTGACACTTATATGCACTCAATTTTATTGCTACTCTTTTACATGGACATAGAGACAAGGAAAGGTAATGAAATTATATATGTTAAAGATTRTAACATTGTTGAATTTTATTGTCCTAGTTCTAAGATTATGAGAGTTAAGTGTATACAGAAGATGTGGTAAACCATGCAAAGGCCATGTCTTACTACGGAACAGAGCTTAACAAACTCTTTGTAACGACAGAGGGAGATAGTCACTATGCGGTGTTCGAATATGAGCATTCGAAAGTGGTTATCAGACGCACTCTGGTGTCTGATCCAATTTTCGAAGAATACACAAACCAGCTGAAGGCAAGTGAAAACTCTCCTCATGTTTTTGCAAGTCAAGGAAAAAATTCAAGGCGAAATGTTCAACTATGTGGTATTTGAATACAGCTGCTGTACTTTAGAGGACGTTTTGAAGTTAATAAAGACATGAATTTTGGAATGCGATAAAGAAAAATCCTGGATACGTTCTGCACCGTGGAGAGAAATGAGGAAGGTATCACATCTTAGACTGAATATAATCAAGGATATAGTTAGAGGCGTTGCTAGTATACATCGTAAGGGTATTATTCACAGAAGATTAACCACGAAATCTGTCGAGATTGTTTATCGAGCGCCACACGATGTGATTGCGAAAATCAATGACTTCGGATCAAGCAAATTGCTTGGTAACAAAGACTTTTTACCGTCTGAAAAGAGTATTTCTAGGTGGCCGGCCCCATAATAGATACGACAAGAAGAAAGTTATCCAGTTGACACTTTTGCTCTCGGTTGCATTATATACTACGTTGTATACGTTTGGTGATCGAGATCGAGACATTGTCAGTAATGTCAAGAATAAAAAAATATTGAATGAACAGTTACATAGCTAATTTGATGTCCAACAGTGCAAGAAAAATACAACTTAAAAACGTATTGCCATTAATCTCATACCAAAGCATCACAACCATCTTTTGTTTTTTTATAAATACCAAAATTAATTTTTTTTTTCAGTTCTCATGTTTGGATTCTATAACGAGGAAACGACTTTTTCAACTGAGGATTAAAAACAAAAGATTGTGTTTATAAAAAAAAAAATGTAATTTCGATTTTTATTGAATATTGTGATTTGTTTTCTTTAAAGATCGGAAAATTGTAACCACTGATCTCCATCAATAAAAGAAGTGTTAGTGAACTGAGCCACTAGAGTCTCATTAAGCTTCTGAACATACGATGCTCTCTTTGACATCTCGGCTCCTGGACCCGAACAATTATACTCTCCATAAAATATAGTCCTAACCAAAAAAACAAGTCACTTTTTAACTACTATCAACCACAAGTAGAAAAACAAAATTATTTATAAATAGTCGAGTTTTCGTGCTTACGCGTCCCTAGAGGGATCGTTGAAGTTGTTCCAGCCTTCGGGTGCGATAACATCGGTCATGGTAGTGGAAACAAAGATGACACGTGAGTAAGGCCTCCATGCACGACCGAGCCACACGTGACCAGTGCCACCTATTGTGCAGTTGACGAAGGAGAAACCACTGTTCTCGTCCTTTGAGTTACGTCCGTTTGCAGTCACGGCTCCGTTTACCAGCTTTGACCCTGGATTCACTTGGTTCGCCATTGATATTATTTGACAGTCCTACGCTTGGACAACACGACATTGGATCAAACTTAACTTGAACATAAACTGTTTGAATTTCTTAATTACAAGTCCAAACCGAATAAACCAAAACCAAAATGCCTTAGTTGTATGTCGATAGATGAAATTCATCAAGGAAAATCAACTAATTAAACATTAAGTTAACTACATAGGCGTTAAAATTTATAAAGATAATATATACATACCTGGTAAAGAGATTTAGCGTTGCCGAATATGAAGTCGATGGAGCCTTGAATGTAGCAATCCTTGAAGTAATGACGACCTCTATCATCATGTAGAGTGTCTTGAGCTCCAAAGAAACCGCATCCCACAAACGCTGATTGATCTCCCACGATTCTTATCGCAACAGCCTGAGCTCCTACGTCTCCTGGTTTTGGTATCGGAGCCACATTCTGCCACAAAAATACATCACAACACCAAAAAAGTTATTTATTAGCTTGTTTTGTTAATATTAGAAGAGACCGTACCCAAAAAAAAAAAGAAGATTGGGGAAACCATATAGAAGAGACCATAAACCGTATCATATTATCATATTTCTCTAACTGATTATGATTCTAGCCGTTTTATTCAAGTATGTTAATTGGTTTTTATGGAAATTAAATTACCATGAAACTAATGTTCTTAGCGACGAATTGTGAACCAAAGACTTGGACTGTGGCACAGTAAAAAGTGCCGTTAGCTGAATAGGCCGTATCGTTCCACGCTATGGCCGTAGTCTCGAACCCTTGTCCTTGCAACGTTATATTTGGTTTAGTCTTCGGAATCACCACTTTTTCACTGCCACACAATAGTTATTATATATTTACTTTATGTATACATCTTTTTTAATGGAATTATAATAACTAAAGGTATGGTTATTACAAAAACATACTAGTACATGCCGGAGTTGATCCAAATCACGTTCCTTCTCTGACTAAAATTTCCGATTGCGTCAACAGCCGATTGCACCGTCGTAAAATTGCAGCAACCGTTCTTATCCACGCAGAGATACGACGTCGTGTTGGTGTCCGGTGGGGGTATATTTTCGGGAAAATCGTCGCATATTGATACCTTTTTCTTGGTATCTGAAGGTTT